AAAAGAGAGATAATCCCCTCATTGAGTGTAGACCAGCACAATAACATGAAACATACTAAGCCCTTTAAGAGTTTCCAGTGTCAGAGCTGTGTGTGTCAATCTGACAGTCACCCAATAACTAGATCATTTTGCTTTTGTTTTGCACAATAAGAATGAGAATGTGAACACGAGGTATCAGCTACTACTGTGGAAGCAAAAGAAAACTATGTGTCAGGGAAAAATTCAAAATATTTTATTTACTGTCGTTAAAAGCAGATTTATTTTTATGCATTGACTTTTCTGTGATTTGATCATCTTAGATCTGGAGAAGTCTCCACTACATTGACAACTTGAGCTATTTCCTCCTTTTTTGATATGTTATTCAGATATAATACGTATTGGAAACAAGGGTTAGCTTGTATCTGTTGCTTAGAGCTGCAGATTGACAGCTAATGGAAATACTCCAGCGATAATATAGCTGAAACCACTGGATCCATACAGAAGATCTTTAAATTAACTTAAAAGAAACTTAAGGAATAATTACGTCATTTTGGGTAAAATTTGCTTGATGTCTGTGCATTACTTGCAAATTATCGGCCTCTCTCAATATACTGACTGATCGACCAGGGGGGGGGGAAAAACACAAATTTGGGGTTTTGGGAGTTTACACAGAGGGTCTGGATGTCATTGGTGATTCCTCCACTAATTGGACAGGGTTGTTGTTCGATCCCGGGCTCCTGCCGCACATGTCCGAAGTATCCTTGAGCAAGATAACAGAACCCGATGGCTTTCCGATGCTAATGCATCGGTGGTGAATGGTGTATGAATAGTTAGTTTCTATTTGAATGGATTTGCATCACTGTGATGAATGTGTGTGAAGGGGTGAATGTGGCACGTAGTGTAAAAGCGCTCTTGAGTGGTCGGAAGAGTAGAAAGGCGCTATACAAGTACAGGTCCATTTACCATTTACCATTTACCATATGGATGGATATGAAAGTATGATCAACAGTATAATCACTGCAGTTCACTTAACAGCCACTGGGGTCACTATTAACGATTTTCTGAAAGTTACTTAGAGAACCTTTAATGAGACTAGGATCGCTAAATGTCAGAATGAAAGCTTATAAGGGAATTTCCCAAAATGTGTTTTTTTATTTAAAATTGGGCAATACCAACCAATATTATAGTGAAGGCATAGATAGATATACTTTATTGATCCCAAGCTGGGAAATTGCAGTAATGTGATGAAGACTATTATCATTATTATTAGATTAACTGATTTTTAAAAAATCAATATACTGTGCTTCATAGGCAGTTGATTCATAATTTTATGTAAACTATTTTGTTCTTGGCACAGATGAGGGAAGCAGAAAACAGCGGGAAAGGCCCTTTCAGTCTTGCCCCAGTACACTGGATCCCAGAAATAGCTGCTCTGTGGTAGGATGCGCTCTGGGCAATGTGGTTCACAAAGGTCCACTTACACAGACATCAAGG